CCCAGAACTATATCCACACATCTATAGTGAACTTATCTTCAACAAAGATGCCAAGAATATACACTGGGAAAAGGAAAGTCTCTTCAATGAATGGTGCTGAGAAAACTGGATATCTGTATACAGAAGAGTGAAACTAGGCCCTTATCTCTCACTGTATATAAGAATTAAATCAAAATGGATTAAAGACTTAAATCTAAGACCTGAAACTATGAAACTACTAAAAGAAAACATTGGAGAAATGCTTCAGGACATTGGTCTGGGCAAGAACTTCTTGAGTAATATCCGCAAAGCACAGGAAACCAAAGCAAAATTGGACAAATGGGATCACATCAAGCTAAAAGCTTCTGCGCAGCAAAGGAAATACCAACAAAGTGAAGAGATAATCCAAAGAATAGGAGAAAATATTCACAAATTATTCATCCAACAAGGGATTAATAACCAGAATATATAAGGAACTCCAACAACTCAATAGGAAAAAAAATCAAATAATCCAATTAAAAAATGGGCAAAGGATCTGAATAGACATTTCTCAAAAGAAGACATACAAATGGTCAACAGGTATATGAAAAAATGCTCGACATCATTAGTTATCAGAGAAATACAAATCAAAACTACAATGAGATATCATCTCACCCCAGTTAAAATGGCTTTTATCCAAAGACAGGCAATAATGAACACTGGTGAGGATGTGGAGGAAGGGAAACTCTCGTATACTGTTGGTTAGAATGTAAATTAGTGTAACCACTATGGAGAACAGTATGGAGGCTCCTCAAAAAACTAAAAATAGAATTACCATATGACCCAGAAATCCCACTCCTAGGTACATATCAAAAAGAAGGGAATTAAGTCTATCAGAAAGATATTTGCATTCCCATGTTTATTGCAGCATTATTCACAATAGCCAAGATTTGGAATCAACCTAAGTGTCCATCATTGGATGAATGGATAAAGAAATTGTAGTACATATACACAATGGAATATTATATAGCCATAAAAATGAATGAAATCCTTCCATTTGCAACAACATGGATAGAACTGGAGAACATTATTGTTAAGTGAAATAAGGAAAGCACAGAAAAACAAATCTCGCATGTTTTCATTCATATATGGGAGCTACATATTAAAAACAACTGAGCTCATGGAGACAGTAGAATGAAGGTTAACAGAGGCTGGGCAGGATAGCAGGGAGCAGGGGATAAAGTGGGGATAGTCAATGGGGGCAAAAATATAGTTAGAATGAACAATATCTGAGAGCACAACAAAGTGACTATAATCAACAATAAGTTAGGCTACACTTAAAATAACTAAAAGAGTGGAATTGGAATGTTCCTAACACAAAGAATTGATAAAAGCCTGAGGTGATGGATACTCCTGCTCCCAAAAAAGACAACTTCCACTTGGATACCTTCCCCTTGGATGCCAATGTTGATAAAAAAAAAAAAAAAACCCAAAAAACTGTAACAATCAACAGTGAGTAAACTATAACAGCGGCAGTAAGGTGAGAGACATATTACCCTTTCCATCTTCTTTCTTCACATACTAACACACTGGAAGATCTAGAGACCCAGTAGAGAAGGGGAACAGAAGTTTAAAAAAGAAATGCTCCCTCCTAATGAAGCCTGGGCTACTGGCTCTAGAAAAAAGGGAAAGGAAGCACTTCAAGTTGGATATAATATTGCAGTTTTAAATTAGACCAGAATGAATATTTTAATACCCAAAAGTACACAGAACGTTAACAAATCTGAAATCTGCCCAGAAAAAGCAGCTTGGCAAAGCATGGTTGAAGGAAGTGTTTGTAGGAAAATAAAACCATGTCATATTTGTACCTCTATTAAAAAAAAAAAAAAGACTTGAAAGTCAAAATGACTCCTTGATCCATGGAGTGCAGAATGGATGTTGTGTTAGCAGGCATGAAAACATTGTAATCCCCTTGTACGTCTCCATTAGGGCTCTTAGGTAACTAGGTGCATTGTCCACAAGCAGTAATATTTTGAAAGGACTCTTTTTTTCTGAGCAGCAGGTCTCAACAGTGAGCTTAAAATATTCAGTAAACCATGCTGTAAACAGATGTGCTGTCATCTAGGCTTTGTTGTTCCATATACAGAGCACAGTCAGAATATGTTAGAGTAGCTTTAGTATCATTCTTGGGGGTCCTAGGATTTTCAGAATGGTCAATGAACATTGGTTTCTACCTAAAGTCACCAGCTGCGTTACCCCCTAACAAGAGAGTCAGCCTTGTCCTTTCAAGCTTTGAAGCCAGGCATTGACTTTTCCTCTTTAGCTATGAAAGTCTTAGATGGCATCTTCCTCCAATAGAAGGCTGTTTCATTTACATTGAAAATCTTTTGTTTAGTGTGGCCACCTTCATCAATTATCTTAGCTAGAGCCTCTGGATAACTTGGTGCCACTTCTATATCTTGTACTTTTATGTTATGGAAACGGTTTCTTCCCTTAAACCCCAGGAACCATCCTCTGCTATCTTCAGATATTTCTTCTGTAGCTTCCTCACCACTCTCGGCCTTCACAGAATTGAAGAGAATTTAGGCCTTGCTCTGTATTAGGCTTTGGCTTAAGGGAATGTTGTAGCTGGTTTGATCTTCTATCCAGACCACTTAAACTTTCTCCATATGAGCAATAACAGTGTTTTGCTTTCTTGACATTCATGTGTTCACTGGAGTAGCACTTTTAATATTCTTCAAGAACTTTTCCTTTGCATTCACAGCTTGGCTAATATTTGGTACGAGAGGCCTAGCTTTCAGCTTTATCTTGCCTTTTGACATGGCTTCCTCACCAAGCTTAATCATTTCTAGATTTTGATTTAAAGTGAAGGATGGGACTCTTTCTTTCACTTGAACACTCAGAGGACATTTGTAGGGTTATTAATTGGCCTAATTTCAATATTGTATCTCAGGGAATAGTAAGGTCCAAGGAGAGGGAGACAGATAGAGGAATGGCTGGTCAGTGGAACAGTTAGAACACGCGCAACATTGATCAATTAAGTTCACTGTCATATCATAGGCGCAGTTCATGGTGCCCCAAAACAGTTACAGTAGTAACATCAAAGATCACTGATCACTATAACAGATATAATAATGATGAACAAGTTTGATATATTGCAAGAATTATCAAAATGTGACACAGAGACACGAGTGAGCACGTGCTATTAGAAAAATGGCGCTGATAGACTTGCTTGACATAAAGTTGCCACAGACCTTCGATTTGTAAAAAACCCAGTATCTGCAAAGTACAATAAAGCAAAGCACAATGAAACTAGGTATGCCTGTAGCTCTCATTTCTATAGAAGGTAATACCTCCCTTGTTCATCTCAGTGAAATTTACAATAATAATGATGAAACCTCCAAGATACTATCCATGCAGGGATCAGGAGTCTATATCCAGGAAAAGAGAGGGTAGGGATCAGGAGTCTATATCCAGGAAAAGAGAGGGTAGAACCTAGAAATGCCCCAGTATGAACTAGGCTTCTCTTTCTGTTAATGTAAATGTCCCAAATTAACACCAGAGTAATAACACATGGGTGGAGGCTGAAAAGGCTCAGAAAAAAAGGGATATAGAGATTATAGAGCCCACATAATAAATTTAAAGAGGTTGCAAGGGAACAATACCAGAGACAGGCATACTAGCACAGAAAGGATGTAATGAACTAAAATAGATAAATAAATAAAAACATGCTATTAATTCAGTGATGTGCTATGAAAGGATTTTCCCTGTGTGGGACAGAGACATCAATAGCAGGTATGAGTAGTCTGTAAAACCCATGGTGATCTCTGAGAAAAATAATAGTGAAAAAGTCTCTGTTAGAAAGCAACACATTAGAAATAAGACCTAATGTCACCTTGAAATATTTTTAACAAATTCCCAAGTGTTCATTAAAGTTGTGTTTTATCCTATATTCTCTGAACTAAACTGATGTACTTTAACCAAGGTTTATATGGTTCTCTCTATATAAAAACCTTTCCATTTTCCCAAATTAAATCATATTTCTCTTTCTCTTTCAGTCCTACTGAAGATATTTCCATTGTACTGCTGGACTGAGTATTTACTGAGTCACTCATCAGTTACTAGTAGTAAAATATTTTAATGACTTAAGACAGTGACAATTATTGTAAATTTGTTTTTCAGTTACATGGTTTCATTGGTGAGTTTACCCAATCCCTAACGAAAAAGAGCCAGGCATATGGTGGTGCATGCATGTAGTCCCAGCTACTTGGGAGGCTGAAGCAGGAGGGTCGCTTGAGCCCAGGAGTGTGAGGCTGCAGTGCGCTATGATCAAACCTGTGAACAGTCACTGTATTCTAGCCTGGGCAACAAAGCAAGACCCTGTCTCTAAATAAAAAATTATATGTGTGTGTATAATACACATTTGCTACCAGGGGCGGCAGCTCACGCCTGTAATCCTAGCACTCTGGGAGGCCAACGCGGGAGGATTGCTTGAGCTCAGGAGTTCAAGACCAGCCTGAGCAAGAGTGAAACCCTGTCTCAAAAAAAAAAAAATTAAAAAAATAAATAAATACACATTTGCTTCATTAAAAAAACCATATTGCTGATCATGGCTGACGAGTTATTACTGTGTCTCTGTTAAAGAGACAGAAAACGAGGTTGAGGGGCGCGGGCAGCATGTGAGCAGGAGCCCAAGTACAATGGAATCACTTCAATCCAGATACAATCAAAGGAGAAAGAAGGAGAATGCCAGAAAAGCAGAATGGAATTCGCAGATCTAAAGAGAAAATGCTGAACGCATCACCTTGGAAAGTAAGAGTTGCGTATTCACCAGGGAATAAACCCCTTAAGGGCCCATCATTTGCCCAGAAAATACACAGAGAGTCAAGACAGGTAACTCAAAGGCCAGCATTTCTCTCGCTCGCCTCTTCTGGCTGGCCATGCCTCATGGGACAGCAGGAGCCATAACGCTGGATGGCACAAAGCCCCACCAAACTGACTCTCAATTGTCAGACTGTCTGGCAAAGGGGAGGGATGCTTACTTGGGTATCACGGGAGAAGATGACCTCTTAGTAACGCCTCCGGAAAACTCGCATCTTCTCAGAGGGGATCCAAGGCCACCAGTGGGAGTGGAAGTTGTCACTCGCTGCCCCCTCTTCTTCTCCGTCTGTAGGGGACACAGAACAGGATAGCCACAGTCCATGACTGGCACTACCCCCCCCAGTTTCTAAAAACAATACTCCAGATAAAACAATGCATAGTTTTCTTTTAGAGGGATTGATATGAAGCTACGATGCTTCACATGATGGGAATCTTTGCAGGGAGGCACTATGAGCTCATCACGTTTAGGTTACCCAGTAATGCCAGGCACAGTGGCATGTGCCTATAACCCCAGCTACTCAGGAGGCTGAGGTGGGAGGATCGCTCGCGCCCAGGAGTTGGAGACCAGCCTGGGCAACACGGTGAGACCCTATCTCTAAATAAATTAATTACATAATAGGTTTAAATAATTTTCAGCCTCAAAATGCAGAGATTTTGTTCTCCTCATTATCTTGCAAAGAACTAACAACAGAACCATACTATGGTACTGGACATACAGGAAGTGGAAGGAGTACAAAGATGTAAAATCACTACAGAAAATTATGAGCGGGTGAGATGTGGTTATAACATCCAAGACAGTGGGCTGTGGACACTGACAGTACGCATGGTATTATGGGGACTGCAACCCCACCCGGTCCTCTACGTCTTCCCCATCACCTCCCCTGACAGAAGGCAGAAGAGAATGGACACTGGTGCTGAGCCCACCGAAGGCGCTCCCTATCACACTTTCCTGCAGTAAATCCTCCTGCGGCCCCCACACCCACATCCGTCAATCCCCTCCTACGATAATCCACCCTACAGAGCCTGAAACGTGCGTTTCTCTTTTAAAAAGCTCGGGGCCACGATGGATTTGTAAAGAAAATACGGTATTACGAAATGCCCAATAGTATAGTCATGTGGCATTTTTAAAATAAGTGCACACATTATTTCATACTCCCTTCAATAGGTGAAGCTTAATTCTTCCCTCCCACTGAGTGCGGGTTGATCTGAGTGGCTTTTAGTGAGCAGCACGTGGCAGAAGTGACAGGTTGGGCATAAAAGGCATTGCAGCTTCCCCCTTGCACTCTCTTGGATCCCTTGCTTTGGGGGAAGCCAGCTGCCACATTTGGACACTCAAGCAGCCTTACGGGCAGGCCCACAGAGTGATGGGCTGAGGCCTCCTGCCAACAGCCACGAGTGAGCCGTCCAAGAGGCCCAGTCAAGCTTTCGGAGGATGCAGCCCTGGCCACCGTCTTGACCACACCTTCATGAAAGACCCTGTAGCAGAACCACCCAGCTAAGTCACTCTCGGTTTCTGACCCAAAGAACCTGTGAGTTAATATTTGTTGTTCTAAGTTGCCAAGGTTTGAGGTAATTTGTTATGCAGCAATTGATAACTAACAAAAGTAGCACGGCATATGTAATATGTAAATAAACATACATAAGTGGGGCACCTGCTCAACATTTACTTTACGATGGTGTCAGCACGCCATCACAGATGTTTAAAGACTGCTGTTGTCGGTGAAAATCCACCTAGAACCTCGGTTCTAGTTACCCTCAGAGGCAAGACTAGCTCAGAATCAGATATCTGCAAAGCAGCAGAGAAGATACTTGGAACATTTCTTCTCACCCTGTCCTCTGGAGGGCAGGCTATAATAACAAGGACATCATTAAGAATTTGCTCCAAGCCACCAAGATTTAGGAGGGTCCAAAAAGTTAGATGATTTTGAAAGGTTAGGGAAAATTTTAAAGCAAATCTATTCTTCCCTTTGAGCAGACCCCGGATGGAGACTGATGCAAACAGAGACCCCAGGTGATCGCAGGAAGTAATCACATTGTCGGATAAACCACAGTCTGGAGGAGCGGGCAGGTGGGTGGGTTTAAACCTACCGGAGAGGCCTCTGCTCCTGCAGGGGTTCCTTTTCCAGCATCTCCCGCGCCAGATGTAGATGTAGCCTTCTTCCTCTCAGTGTTTCGAGTGGGAGAAGACTTGTAGGAAGATTTAAGAGAGCCAGCAGGAGCTATACGAGGACAGGTATGAAACACTAGAAAGTTACAGTTATAACAGCCACAGAGACAGGGAGTGCAGATGGAAAAGGCAGGGAGAGCAGGGAGTTGGGAAGAACACACATTTCTGTTAAAATGGGACCTGGGCAATCCATATTCTCAAAATACCATACTTTATTATTGTACACAGAATGGATCCTACCCTAAAAAAGGCTCCCATACTCAAGAGTCAAGTTCATTTCGGGGGTTAAAAGTCTGCACTTTGGAGTCAGACAGACCTGTACTGCCGCCTCATAGCTGGATCACCTTGGGCAGGTTACTTAACCTCTCCAAACATCAACTGCCTTGTGTGCAGTAAAGAGTTACCACAGCAGGCCTGACTGCTTCCTTTAAAAGGCCCGCTTACAAGGCTGGCCCCTGGCTGGCATCTGGGGACGTGGATCTCAGGAGGGTTCCCTCCATTAACTGATGAGTGCAGAAACTGTTTGTGTAAATAATATGGTTTATGCTGAACACTTGCTTTCCTTTGGGGAGTCCGGAATTTGGGTGTGTGCCTGGGAGGGGATGCCTACGTGATCAGCCCCCAGTAAAAACCTCAGGTACCAAGCCTCTAGTGAGCTTCCCAGACTGGCAACATTTCATGTGTTGTCATAACTCGTTGCTGGAGGAATTAAGCACGTCCTGTGTGACTCCACTGGGAGAGGACTCTTGGAAATTTGCACCTGGCTTCCTCCAGCCTTTGCCCCACGTGCCTCATCCTTTTGCTGACTTTGCTCTGCGCCCTTTTACTGTAATAAATCATAGCCATGAGTACGGCTGTATGCGGAGTCCTCTGAGTCCTCCTGGCGAACCACCAAACTTGGGGGTGGTCTTGGGGACCCCTGACACAATTAGTGTCAGAAGGGTAAATTGGCAGATTGACCTGGATTCACTGAAATATGGTAAAAAGCACTGTTTGGGAAAAAGAAGGATAAAGGGGCAGAGGACAATGCCCTTGTGGTGCCTGGGTGGCTATGAAGTCATCCATGGTATGAAACAGCAGCCAAGTTGCTGTCTGTTGAGAAAGATAAAAGTTCCCTGTGGAATTTGAAACTGACCGATGCAGCTCCAAGACAGTTGGCTCAATGGGTCCTCTGGCTGCTTTTGGCCATTTAGCTAAAGTGAGGGGAAAGTGCAGCTCAGCTGATTGACACCTTTGGTTTCTGTTTGTCCTCCAAGTAGAAGTGGGACACAACTTCCTTGCTTTTTGCCACCAGTGTGTAGGTTGGAATTTAAACTCTTGAGTATTGGAACCAGAACAACTCTCCATAACTGACTTTTTTTGCTGTAACTTTTGCCTAATGGAGCCTCTGGAAAAAGGGAAGATATGAAAAGAGAGGCAACTTCCAGACAGAGACATGCTTTTGGATTTTTAAAAATCAAGTAGGGGGTCAGGCGTGGTGGCTCACACCTGTAATCTTAGCACCATGGGAGGCTGAGGTGGGAAGGTTGCTTGAGGTCAGGAGTTCAAGACCAACCTGAGCAAGAGTGAGACCCCGTCTCTACTAAAAATAGAAAAATTAGCCGGGCATGGTGGCATGTGCCTATAGTCCCAGCTACTAGGGAGGATGAGGCAGGAGGATCGCTTGAGCCCAGGAGTTGGAGGTTACAGTGAGCTATGATAATGCCACTGCACTCTAGCCTGGGTGAGAGTGAGATTCTACCAAAAAAAAAAAAAAATTGAGGGACCATTGCAGACATGGAACAGCCCTCCACGGGCCCGAAACTGTGAAAACGTCCTGGATGCTGGACTGTTCTGGTCACATACAAGTGCCCACAGGACAGTGTGTATTCTCTGATGGGACCATCTAAAACCAAGCTGCTCACTGGCTCTGTATTTCTGATGCAAAGCCTGACTGCACTGCCAACTTATGGTTCCTGCAAAAGCTGTAAATTAAGAAGGGACATCACAGGCAATGTGACCCCTTCATCCACTCCTGACAGATCAGACCCCACCCACTCTGGGGGATGTGTCACTGCTGTTGACAACTTGTGTTTGAACAACAGAGAGTCTGACTCTACTTCCCTCACCTTTCTCCCAGTTACACACACCTTAGCAAGGCAACTTGTTAAATGCAGCCGTTCTCAGAAAGGGAGTGATCTTTTCTAGGCTGTTCACTGTATAAATGATCGGGAAGAAAAGGATAGAAAAGTAATATAACCCTATTCTGAAATGTTTTGAAAATTTAGAATTTTGTCCTAATACCCAAACATGACGTGTTTTTCTGGTTAAGTTGGATAAAATTTTTTTTTTTTTGTAAAAATACTTTTGTCCTTTCTTTGAAAAGCCTGGGTGAGAGTAGGGGATGACAGAGAAAATGTAAAGTTTTGATTACTGACTAGGACATGGAAAAGAACAAGAAAACCTGGCACTTGCGGTGATATAGGGGAGGGGAAGGACATCTGTGATCTCTGTTTTCCAGAAGCACTCCTGGAAGCTCTCCCCTCTTCATGAAGGAAAACTCCCCGTGGTGCTGCAAGCGCCTTGGATTCAGACCGACAGCTGAGCCTAGATGGCTGGCACGTGACAGCGTTGACTATGAGCTGGCAGGGGTGGGCCAGCTGCTGCACGTCCCCACAGAACTCCTCCAGATGCTGTCCACATTTGCCAGGCAGATGAAGTAGGGCCGCTGACAGAACTGTCTGGGACTGACGACCTCAGGAGGCCCCTTAAACCAGGGACTGAATCGAATCACTTGCACTGGACCGAGCACCCTGGGGTGGGAGGCACCATGTGGGAAGCCACACTGGGGCTGCCTGACCAATGCATATCCTGCTCGGGGTACCCTAACATGGTCAGCTCTGTTTCCAAGGGACCACACGAATCCCCGGGGATTGCACTTCTTTGTGTGTGCCATGACTATCATGATACTGCCTCAGCCCTGGAAGGTGTTCAGGTCAGCTTCGACTTACTGGCCAGAGCTGTGCTGGGTCTAAGTTGATGCCTCGGGCCAAGTAAAAAGATTCGTATAGCAACTGACCGAGGAAAGTCACCTGGCCGTCCACGACAGACTTTTATGGTTAATGGATTTGCTTTAACCGCTCAGTCCAGAATCCCGAAAGAACATAACTGAGCTCAATAGTGCAGGTTGGTCTCACCCTGCTGTGTGGAGTCCTACTGATAATCTTCTGTAAAGGTGCCTTGGCCAAGGGGTCAAGGGAGTAGACTGTGGGTAAACTGCAAAAAAGAGTTAACTGCTGTCACCGGGAAGGCCTGCTTACAAGGTTGGCCCTTGGCCCACATCTGTGAACTTAGATTTTGGGAGGGTTCTACCATTAACTGAAGAGGGGCTCACTGTGCCTAAACTGTTTGTACAAACAATATGGTATATGCTGGATGCCTGCTTTCTTTCCAGGAACCTGGAATTTGGGTATGTGCTGGGCAAGGGGTATATGTGACCAGCCCCCAGGAAAACCCTGGGCATTCAGTTTTTAACAAGCTTTCCTCGTTGGCAACATATCATTCATATTGCCACAACTCACTGCTGGGGGAAAGGCATCCTGAGTGGCTCCATTGGAAAGGACTCTGTCTGGGAGTTTGTGCCTGGTCTTCCCTGGACTTTGTCCCATGTGCCTTTGCTGATTTTGCTGTGTATCCTTTTATTGTAACAAATCATACGTGAGTACAAATATATACTGAGTCCTGTGAGTTCTCCTAGCAAATCATTGATCCTGGGGTTGGTCTTAGGGAGCCCTGGTACATTCCTCATTCTCAAAATGGGGATACTTCCTACTTGCTAGGATTTTTTGTTTGTTTGAGATATAATTCATATACCATAAAATTCATCCTTTAAAAAGTGTACAGTTCGGTGGTTTTTAGTATATCACAAGGCTGTGCAACCATGACCACAGTCTAATTCTGGAACATTTTCAAAAACATAACTCTTTATCCAATAAGCAGTCCTCCCTTTTCTTCCCTCCCCCAAGTCCTTGATGATCACTCATCTATTTTCTGTCTCTACAGATTTGCCTATTTCAGACATTTAATATAAATGGAATCATATAATTTGTGGCCTTTTGTGACTGGTTTCTTGCACTTAGCATAATGTTTTCAAGGTTCATCCATCTTGTAGCACGTATCAGTACTTTATTTCTTTTTATAGCTGAATAATATTCTACTTTATGGATAGATCACATTTTGTTTATCCATTCATCTGTTGATGGATATTTGAGTTGTTTCCATTTTGTGGCTATTTTGAACAAATTGCTGCATAAAAATATGGTTTTAATTTCCTTGGCTCTATACCTAGGAGTGGAATTGCTGAGTCATATGGTAACTCTGTTAAACTCTGTTAAACTTTTTGAGGAACTGCCAGATTGTTTTCCTACATTCCCACCAGCAGTATATGAGGGTCCAATGTCTCCACACCTTCACCAACATTTGTTATTTCCCCTTTGAAGAAAATTTCAGCCATCCTAGTGGGTGTGAAGTGATATCTCATTGTGAGTTCCATTTCCCTAATGATTAATGATGTTGAGCACTCTGTCATGTGCTTACTGGCTGTTTGTATATCTTCTGTGCAAAAATAGTATAACTGGAAGCAGCTACAACTAGGTAAAGCTTTTATGTCATATATATGTCATCACACTGAATATACTATCTTGGGAATGGAGACCAGACCTGACCTTATGTGGATATAGCATTGCTCATTTGCAAACAAAGAGAATGCCAACCCTCTAATCTTGACATGAGGCTTTGATCTGCTTTGATAAAGGTCTGGTCCAGTGTTTCTCAGATTTTAATGTGCAGGTTGGTTGGGGCCCGCGAGTCAGCCTTCCTACCAAGCTCCCACATGATGCTGCCGTTACTGGCCTGCGGACCACCACTTGAGCAGTAAGACTCTAGACATTTGTTGAGCGCTTACTCTCTGCCAATCATTGTGCTATCTCAGTTGCATGCATTATCTCATTTAATCCTCATAACAATTTAAAATAACTCTATTTTATAGATGAGCAAACTGAGGCTTAGAGAAGTTAATTAACTTACCCAAAATGGTAAGAGTGAGTGAGTGGCAGAGCTGGTTATGGGACTCCAGAGGCTGTGGTCTATGGGCTACTTTGCTAAACCACCTCTTAAGAAAAGTCTGCTAAGCTCCATAGCTCGTCAAGTGGATTTTTTTTCCTAATGTACATGCCCTGAGTCATAAAATCATTTACTCACCTCTATGACACTTAAAAAAACATAGAACAGCAAAACACTGGTGGGTAGAAAATGTTAGTAACCACTGAAGACATTTCACAAAGCCAGCAAATGGGAAGCAAAATACAAAAATTCAAGAATAAATCATAGGCTGACCAACACCTCTTCGGGCATTTTCCTTGGTGTCACCAGCTTGGCCTCTTTTACCTGAGTCACCGGCCCACTCAGAGAGCATAAGTGCACTTCTGCTTCTGGCTAAAGAAGCCTGTGTGGGTGTCAACAGTCGCATAACAAGAAAGGTTTCCATGGGACTAAGGTGCGTGCGATGAGCTGAGGGATGGAATCAAATGAAAATTTTAAAAAGCAAAATAAAAACAAAATAAAAGGTTTAAACAATACAGTGCCTGATGCAAATTAACTTTTGGGTGGTAGAACAAATGTGGAAAATAAAAATATTCTAATGAAGGATGGTTTTAGAGTTCGTCATAATAAAATAAAACAAATGATATGTCATTTAGAGTTTGGGACAGTGCATTAATTCTCTTGAGTGCCACAATTCACTCAGTAAGTTACTACAGTACAGTAACTGTATCACTCGAAGAGAATTAGCCCACCTCCCAAGATTATGGACTCAAGAAATCATTTACTCACCAAGTAAATCTAACATTGAAAAAAAAGATTATGCCTACATAACACTTGTTTTAGGTCCTCTGTTAAGAAATATTTCATAACATATTGATTTTTAAATGAAATATGTCAGCCTATAATAGTATAAAGATACATCCTTTCACACTTTTTCCACGTATAAGGCCAACAATTAAGTGAGAAGCACAAAAAAAACCCACATCCAACTGATTATCAGCTTTAATGAAAGATAATAGTATTCATAACCTAAAATTCAATTACTGGAATATTTTGATCATTTTGGAATGTATTATATGGCAATAGATTAACTTTTCCATTACTCTGTATTCTTTGGGTGCCTAATAACTAGCAAATAGTTTGGGGATTAAAATTTTTCAATTTATAATCCATAAGCAGATAATTCAGCTGTCAACAATCTGTAACAACATACTGCCATCTTTATATATTAATCAATGCAAAAATGAATTTAACATCAATCTAGAACCATGTGAATTAATGAAAACAAATGGAATACACTTGCTAATGGAAGAGCTATGTAGAGTTAAGCATGTAGGTGTGTTTTCTCGTCCAGCTCTTAATTACTTCTAGGTTCCTGGTGCTTACCCACGAACTTGATCAGAGATCAGCAGCGCTATGACCCTTACAGGGTCCCTAACACACATGACATGCCTCTGGGATGGAAATGCAAGGTCAATGCCAGTGAGACAAACCAGGAAGGCACACCAGCCTCTGCCAAGTCACAAACATCCTCCTGCTTGACCCCTCGGTGATGACGTGATGTGCTAAATACTCCATTGGCACCTGACACTTCAGTGTTGCTTTAAAATATGCATTTAGCGCCTGGAGAGCTTCCCTCCCTTTCTTAACCTAAATACTCTGAAAAGTATAAATTCAGACTTTCAGTCACTTATCTGAGCCTCTGTTAGAACATGGACCATGTTAAATCTACTCTGGTTCCAGAACTGGCACATGTCCTATGCATGTCATCTCCCACGGCAAAACAGAGTGCCTGAAAAGGCCGCCCATCCATTTCCTCTTTTAGAGGCCTCATATTAATTAGTTCTGCACTTCTGTTTTCATCTACAAAATGGGCAGGCCTGCAAACCACAGATGACTGCAGAGCCCATTTTATCACATATCTGAGCCTCCCGCACAACTCTGACTCATCACTTCTGCTCTTTCTGGCTAATCGATTGCATCCCATCACTGACTGGACAGTTACTTTTTTTTTAATTCTTTCTCTTTTTTATAGCTCATTTGCACGGAAGGACTATGGGCAGTTATTTTTCTAACGGTCACATCTGCCCACTGGTCAATTAATTCCTAGGCAGGATAACGCCTATATGCAATGAGGAAAATGGAACAGTCTTTCAGACTTGGTGATATCATTAATTCGTGTCCCTATTCAACAACAAACTGGCTCTAAAGAGCACTGCCACTTTCAAAGTCCCTTTAGCAAGGCCCTAGGGCTCCTACATTCAGACCAGGAGACTAGGACAATGGTGGTATTTGCAGAAGGCTCAAGAGGGAGCTCTCACAAAGGCCAATGTTAGGACGCTCACACCAGAAACAAACTGGAGAGACCAGGTCTACACGTTCACTTGCCTCGGTCTGGGGAATAGGATATTGCCACGGTGGATGAAGACAGGCGTTTACGCATGGGAGGCTCCGTCTGCTTTGGCAAATTCATGGTTGATGTTGAAAGTTTGTCACATGCTGCAGAGAAACGCATTAAAGACATTGGCAGTCACACCACTGTAGACTGAGAGACACATATCCCAAAGTGTGCTTCCTGTCCTCATCCACACACCTTCTAAATGCTGTGGCACAGCATGATCTGCCTCCATCATCCTGGCATCTCATTATCCTAATCTGGAAATGCCCAGGCTACAGCAGCCGCTGGTCACTGGCAAGATCTCTGCAATGTCTTCACCGTGCCGTTCTCTTCGATTTCAAATGTTCAATCTCACTAAATCGCTCAACTAAAGCCATGCTAATTAATCCCACCAGCAATTCATTTCGTATCCAGGGATTTTTCAGTATATTCACATCACATAAAAACAAAACCAACCTGGACCCAGAGACAAATCGTCACTAGGAACCCGTTCTATGGTCGGACTGAGATTGTGTGTGCTGAAATGGAACTTTTTCTGAAGGTTATCTCTAGCTCAGGTTGGAGGCAGATGGAATTTGTAATGCAAGGAGTTGTATTTAAAGCAGAAAGGCCTTTAGCAGTTGGTTTTCTTCCTCTTAGTAATGGATGGGATCAAAATGGCCCTCTCACAAATGCTTTAACTGTTTAAGGTTAGGATTTTAACACTGGCCTCTAGGTTTGGTGTTCTCACTTCCAGTCATTATTCCAGACTGCTTTCTAAATTAAACCATCACAGCAAACAAAGAGGTGCTGACAGTGCCCTGCTGAGCTATGCTGAAGTCTGGGGCAAAAGGAAAAACGTGTCCCCCTGGCTATAGAGGAAGCAAGCTCATCAGTAATATGTTCAAAGTCTACTCTGCTCATCTTGGTTTCAAATAAGAGAACTGCCATGGCTGACAATTTCTGCTGACCAAGTGATGATCTTAATTTTTAATTAAGCTAAAGGAAAAGTACAATATTATTATTATATTATTAAATTTGGTTTGGGGATAAATAAGATACTTAAACTTGAAATAACATGAGTTTTAATATTCTTGCTTTTCAACTTTTCAGTATTTTTTAATGTTCTGGAAAAAATTAAGCATTAGAAATTATATAAAACCATGTACATAGGAGTGCATATTCCCCCCACCCTTTCTTTTTTTTTTTTCCAAAAACAAACCTGTGCGACCAGACACATTTTCCCTTTTCCCTGAGATTCTGCTATGGCTCAGCATGGCACTGGTCTTTAGACATTTGACATTTGATTTGTTCTGGATTGGTTTGGATTAATTTTGATTTTTTAAAAATATTGCATTAAAATATTATTTTATCTTGATTATTGAGAGTTTTGGCACCCCCTTAAATTGTGTGCCTGAGTCAAGTACCGCACTCACCTCATCCTGGGCCTGGCCCTGCGTGCTGACTCCCAGTGAGTGCCACATGGAGTCACTCTACCTGCACCTCTGTGGGGGAAGGCCGGCACCCACACTACAGGCAACTCCGCCCTTGCAGCAAAATCTCTGTTACTAAGCACCACCAATAAGGATTATTCTTTGTCAAAGGAATGCCAGAAACCAAGGACATTTATTCCTACTGCTACTGTGACCTTCTGCATTGCTGATAAATACTACATCCCTCTTACATCTTATTTTTTCTTTGCCAGCTGAAGATGGGCTGAATTTCTAAAGTTATTATTAAATAGGAACAAAGTTTTGCCAGTTCTGTTCTTGATCTAGACCATAAATATTTCCCAGGCCTGTATCCAAAACAGAGATCTATTAGAGAGAGATGAAATCTCGCACAAAGCCAAATTATCTAATTTAGGGGATCCCCAGGGTTAGCAATGATAAACTCCCTACCACTCCCTCTCAAACACCTCTGCAGGAATCCATCGCGTTAACACCAAGCCCAAGTATTCCACTCAGAACTCTGTGTGATTACAGGTTTGGTAACCAGAAGTGATCAGAATACTCTACTACTTAATGCCTAAAACAGATAAAAAATAATGAGATTTCTAAAGCTCTAGATGTGTAGAATCAAACACTGACAAGATTTCAAGGTGAAAGTTAGTGAGCTGAGGATGAAATGTCTCCAGGGCACTCAGATGTAAGGCATGCACAGCTCCACGATGACAGAGGAACAAAGGAATATGGGCATGTCATTCACATCTCTAGAAAAAAGTTGTAACGGCTCAGACTAAGAAATCAACTGTAAAGGTATTTGAGACACATGGCGATGGAGGACGGTGATCAGAACAGAACAGTTATCACAAAACACCATGGCATGGTGATGCTCAGGTATACCATTGGTGGACTCGGCAGCTGCGGCAGTGGTCCCTGCATCCGGAGGGAGGGTGCTGGCTGCTAAACCTAGAGGAGGGGGTGGGGTATTTCCTGTTTCACCTACACAGCAAAAAAAAAAAAAAAAATCAGAGCAAAGAGGGATAAAAGAAAAAAAAGAGTCCCAATTTCTTATTTTTAAGTTTCTAATTAAGAAACTAGAAAAAGTAACTGAAATAGGTTGTTGACTTCTCACAAACGAAAAGTAAAGTATAATCACTGCCAAAAGGTTAAAAGCGCAATATAGCAAAGTCAAGAAACTCTCCCATAAACTTAAACCCATGTACTCTCAGAGAGAATTAGTACTCAACTCCTGCATAATAGAATGCTAAGATCACTGAAATGCAGTGAGACACTGAAAAGAAGGAAAAGCCACCCAGAGACCAGTAACAATCCATGCGTTAAATTAAACATTTGAAAATTTAAAGATGAGTATGAACTGGATAATGAAATAAGTCACCTTGAAACAAAATCAAAAGAGCAACAAAAATTTAAAATGAGGCAGGAAAAAGCCCAGCCCTCTTCAAAGGTAACTGCTGTTCTGCCTTTCCCCATCATGTCTAGAGTGGTGACTGAGCCTCCTGCAGTTTCCCTCCCCTGAAACCAGACCACCCCTGGGCTAGCCAGCTGAGTCCGGCTCCCCAGGCTCTGCATTCGGTGTCTTTGCTTTTCTTTTGCTCTCCCTCAATGCCCAGTTATTGTATCAACTGTCGTTTGTTACCAAGAAGAACGCACAGATCCCCTTCATAAGAAAGGCATACACAGGAAGCTTGGCAGTTTTAAACATTAAATCTGAAAATGGTACCTGCAAAGCTGTGCAAAGCATCCCCCAGATCCTGCGGGTACCCGGCCGTGCCCGTGATCTCCTGCCTGCCCCACGATCCCCCATCAGGGCCCTGCAATGCAGGGAGAGCCCTACACTCACCATCACGTCCTCCGGGCGCCGTGGCCAGTGATGCTCCCCACGAGCACTTCTTCTTCAGCTCCAGCTGCTGCGTGCGTTCCATGGACCGGCGCATCATCGCCTCCAGCCGCTCCTGCCCGGTTCATGCAGGGCGTCAGTGTCAACTGAGAACAAGATTAACCACCCAGCCCCACCGCACTGCTGTCTCAGTGTGCAGTGTGGGGTGAGTCACCAAATGGGGCTTTCTGTGCTTAGCATCCAAAACCCAGCACACGTGCTCTCTCCACCACACCAGCCGGTTCTTAGTGGGTGGAGAGTAAACAATGCAGCTAGGCTAGCGCTGCTAAACACGAACACCGAACACTGTGTCTCCTCCCTTTCCCTCCCTGGGGAGAAGCTGCCTTAAGGATAATGCCCAGCAAGCATTAACTCCTTGAGGCCTGTCTCAAGCCCCATCTTGCCCTATCCAGTAGGAGAACTGGAATTTTGCTCCAGAACCAATTGTATCCTCTCTGGTTGAAGGCAGAAAACATTCTGATATGAGAAAATTTAAATTAAAATATAATTCTGAGTTTTTGTAGCCTTAAATATAAATTTTTAGGGTGATACATGACATTGAGATCTACTTTGCAAAGCCCTGTGTTTATCTTAGAACTTCTTAAAGGGGAATCAATTGTTTTCTATATTGTAACACTTTTCTGCTACATGGTATTTTCTAGATAATATTGCATGTTTCAAAATTTAAGAGAGATAAGAGTAGGTAGACTTCTAGCCACAAAATAAAGCATCCATGCATTCCCAGAGTTAGGTAGGTTTAGGGAGGGGTGGGAAGATAGAACTCAACAATTTTTAATCAGAAGAGAAAACAACCACCAGGCTTCTCTCTTAACAAGATTTATCAAAAGCGCTCACCTGTATTACCTAAATTGTTATTTTCATAAAATTGTCCTTGGCATTGGAATGAAGGTGTTCTAATTCTGCACTCCCCACCACCTCGATGACACTGCAAATACCAACTCCTCTCCCCGCCTCCCCTAAGCAAGGCTGGCAGTTACAATGACACCCTTCAGCTCTCATAAAACCCAACCCTGAGGTGCTCCAGGAACTGGGCTAATCCTAGCCTGACTCCAAAACAAAAAGATACAATTTTCTTATGGCTTAAAAAAACAACCAAGCAAAATTAATTTAGGACAGTATCAGCTGAGTAACCATGACTTTAAAGATCGGGAAAAGGCTCTTTCATGTCACTTACTAGACACACATAAAGGTCCCTTAGTAGGTATCTGGATTTATCCCTTTTGTCTATACCAGAGGGATGAGATGAGCATTTTGTTTCTCCGCATCTTAGCCTCCTCTGCATAATTTTTCTCTGAATAGCACTTTGCTAAGAGACTGTCTCTCCAGGGACCTGTGAACAGAAAGGGGGATTTTTTTGCCTCCTGTTTCATTTTTGCATTGGCTATTAATTGTGCTCTGGTTTTTGGCCTGAGACTCTATAATCATGAGTGTGCACTTCCTGGCAGAGTCCTGTCCCCACGACCCTGGCCCATTAAATTATGATGGCCAACCCTGGCAGTCTACCCGATAAAGTCTGGGGCTTAGAGGGAATAGAATTCCTCCACCATTGGATGCCTGAAGTATGGCCACTCAAGACTAAGGCTGAACGGTATTTCATTACATGGATTTAACATAAAGTAGTTAAACGGCAACCTAATTTAAGTGTTGAAACCTTTCATCCTAGTGTGAATTTAGTATTGGGTGGGTTATGGTAGATTTCCTACATGCCAGAAGGACCTCACAAGACAGTCTTCTCTACTATGGCACCAATGAGAATGAAGAACACTGAGACTCACTGAGCCAGCCTCACCACTGAGCAGCTATCTGGGGGCATAATTATAAGGGGATGCTTACTTAAAGCCAGACCTACCCTGAACTGTTCAGTTACCTTTACAAAAACTACCTCTGCCATCTACCTCCAGTCCACTGAGCTGCTCCAAGTTCTACCCCTGGAGATTCACTCTTTGGATCTTGAGTAGGCTGATGAAAGTATAACTATCTCTGAGAGAAAGACACAGTCACTTTGTATGGCCCACTTTTGGAGAGGTGATGCAAAAGAGGTGGTAAACTTCTCTCTTCTCAATAGAGCTGGAGCCCATTCTTTGAAGTGAAGTATGACAAGAATGGAAAAACAAGCACCACATGTACTCACCATCAAATTGGTATTAACTGATCAATACTTAAGTGCACATATAGTAATAACATTCATCGGGTGTTGGGCAGGTGGGAGGAGGGGATGGCTGTATTCACACCTAATGGGTGTGGTGTGCACCATCTGGGGGATGGGCATACTTGTAGCTCTGACTCAGGCGGAGCAAAGGCAATATATGTAACCTAAACATTTGTACTCCTGCAATATGCTGAAATAAAAAATTAAAAGAAAAAAAAGAGATGGTAAAGCTCTAAGAGAAGAGGATTTACGGAACCCAAAAAAAGTCAAAATGGGGTGATTCAAACATGTCAAAAATAAAACTTACCCACTGCACTCTTATTGGAGGTTAGTCCTGTATAGATAGGTGAGTACTGCCTCACATTCATATGTACCTTCCTGTTCCTTCATGTGATGAAATAGAAAGAATTCTAGATTTGGAGTCAGGAGGTAAGGATTCGAGTCTCATCTCTGTCTGCCACTTTTTAGCCCTGTGACCTTGAGCTAATCATTTCACATTCCTGGGCTTTAGTTTCCTCACCTATAAAATGGGGATGATCTTACCTACATCACCAGATCACTCTAAATCTATGCGATCATGACTAGCATGTGGTAAGTCCTTAACCAATGCTAACTGAACCTGAATTTGAAGAGGAGGATTATTAACAGGACAGTTTAGACCAGTGGTTCTCAAACTTAAGGGTTTGTGCATCAGAATTCCCTGGACAGCTTGTTAAAATGCAGGCTGTTGGGGTTTATCCCCAGGGTTTCTGAGTCAGTAGATCTGGGGTAGAGCCTGTTGAGAATCTGCATTTCTAACAAGTTTCCAGGTGCTTCCAGTCCTGGGACCTCACAGTAAGAGCCACTGGTTAGAGAAAGGGCTGAGCATGAGAAACTGAGCAAGAGAAAGTCCCATCACATCAGAAAAACAGCATTAATAAGTATTAGAAGTGCAGACTGCAGTTCCTGCCAAGTTCTGGTTCTCCCAAGTAGCATCTGATCATCACCAGAGGACGGGGAAAGAGCAAGGCAAATTCTTGTCCCTAGAATATCCCTATCAGGTGGGGCTTCGTGCAAGGAAAAAAGGAAGGAGCCTCACTCCTGACTCCTTGAGCTTTGGCTCTAGATCTGCCTGGATGAACTTGGAGAAACGTGACCAAGGTGACCCGCTGAGCTCGCTGAGCAGCATACGCATGGCCCAGACAGCAGTCTCCAGCAGGAGTGGGGGGTGGCTGTACGTTTTCCACTGCTCTTATTATACATGTTCTGGGGATGACACTGCAGGAACAAGCCCTCAGTGATCCTCAGCAGGGCCCTGTAAGGGGGCCTTTCTCTCTGCAAACAGATGTCCACATCTGCCTTGGCACAGACATGAGGGGTTACCGAGAGCAACACCATGGCAACCACAGGAGCGTGGAGCCAGGGCAGGGCTGGTGGGGGTCAACAGGCCTCTTATGAGCTCCTAAATATCAGATCCAGGGAGGTAGGTCTTGCTGGGTACACAAACGCTTTCCAACAGGCTAGAGAAGCAAAATGGCTTGCGCAGGACGAACAATCTTCCTGCAGAGGCTTTTCTCTGGTTGACAGAGACAGAGCATGACAAAAAGAACTTAAATCTGATACTGAGAAGAGAACAGAGAATCTCTACGGCCAGGCAATGAGCAAGCAGCAACCCTCCTGGAGCTCTCCTTGAAACCACGGGGGCCAGCACAGAGGCTTTCCCTTGGAGAGGGGCTGCTGCAGTGTGGGCCCATCCCTTTTCCCTAAAGGTCACCCATGACAATTCCAAACAGGCCTCTGTATGGACAGAGCACCAACTCTAATGTGGTTAATGGGCCAGCCTGCGTGTGGCAAGTCCCTAAGCTATACCTGGATCTACCGGGACCCTGAGGGCAGGAGCAGGTGGCAGAGGAAGGCTGCTGCTTCCTGCAGTTGCTACACAACCGCGGGAGGCCCAGCTCTCAACCCTGCCCTGCTGTGCCCAGGGAGAAGAGGAAAGCAAGCTCAGCTCGTGCTTGTGCTGAAGAGGGTCAGGTGGCATCCTCTCTCTCCCCCGCCCTACTACATTAGGGGAGCAAGGAAGCACACAAGCAAATAGAAAATGATCTGGAAGCGAAACCACTGAAGATTCTGCTGCATCAGGATCAACCATCTGGCATGACATTCCCTCATCTGCAAGAAGGGGGAGTCTGACTGGTTAATTTAACATGCCTCCAGCACTAATGTTCTATAAAGGAAAATTATAGACAGAAATTGTCTCAAAAGCAGACCCCTGTGACACTGTAGGATGTGGCAGAGCATGGGAAGTGTCTAACATGACTTCACAGTGTCCCTTTGAGAGAAAGAGAGAGAGAGACAGACAGACAGACAGACAGACAGACACCAGGGAGGAAGAGGATAAGCTCTAAGTCATCAAGGAAAGCTCTAAGTCATCAAGTAATGGAGGATGGGAAGAAAATGGGCGAGTCCAGTGACTCATGACAAATACCCAGGTTAGGAAAGGAGAAATCTGTCTCAAGTTACCAAAACAGCCTATCACACTGTGGTTTTTTTTCTTAGTCTATAGACTCTTTTCTATAACCTTTTCTGGGTAGCTCCTTCTTGACCTTGCTGGGCGCAGTGGCTCATGCCTATAATCCTAGCACTCTGGGAGGCTGAGGCAGGAGGATCGTTTGAGGTCAGGAGTTCGAGATCAGCCTGAGCAAGAGCCAGACCCCGTCTCTACTAAAAATAGAAAGAAATTAGCTGGAAAACTAAAAATATATAGAAAAAATTAGCCGGGCACGGTGGCACATGCCTGTAGTCCCAGCTACTCGGGAGGCTGAGGCAGGAGGATCGCTTGAGCCCAGGAGTTTGAGGTTGCTGTGAGCTAGGCTGATGCCATGGCTTGTAGCCCAGGTGACAGAGAGAGACTCTGTCTCAAAAAAAAAAACAACAAACAAAAAAAGCCTTTATATTGTTCATGCTAAAAGATGAGTCACCAGAGTCATCATACCTTATGAATAAAAAATGATCATCACCTGATACAAGATAATGAATATATCCTTAAAATATAATTGTTAAGAAAATCTATAATCCAAATATGCTTTCTAAATATATATTCAAAGCCTAGTAATAAAGGACTCTATAGGGGTAATTATGTTCCATTCCTTCTTTAAAAGGTAGCCGGAAAGAAAGGGTGATTAAAGCAAGTAACTACATTAAAATTTAAATCCACTAGCATCTTGGTATTTGAAGGTAGACTCATTTTCCAGTAGTGACTCACAGGATCATGTTGTTCTCGAGCCTCACAGCTCTTGCTCTGGCCTTGTGTCTGCCCTGGAGGCAGAGACTCCCATCTGTAACCCTCAGGTCCGTAACACCCAGTGCCTACCCACCATCCCCCTCTGAGTCTTGATTTAGAGTCAGCAAAGGTTAGGCCTGGAAGAAGCCCTGGACACTGCCAAACCCAACCCCCTCACTTCAGAGACAAGCAAATCGAGGCCCAGAGAAGATAAGCAGCTCGCCCAACGCAACACAGCAAAGTGAATGGTTCTCTGTTTCCATGCCGGTGCTGCTGAAGAAGGCACGGTGAGCCCCCCGGAGAAGGTCCAGGGCGGGCTACGCTGGCACCCTGGGCATTAAACCCCGTGGGAGCTGCCGAGGTGGCAGGCGTGGGGACTCCCAGACCTCACCTCCTCCTCCCGAAGCTTCTGCTTCCTCTTCTCTTCCACTGCAGCCCTCTTCTGGTCCTCCCGTTGCCGCTGCTCTTCCAGTTTGCGCCATCGCTCCTCGATTTGCTTTTCATATTGGAGCTTGGCTCTTTTCTGTTTCTCCAGGATCTGCTGTTCTCGGGCGGCTAGGGAAGGAGAGCAAAGGAGAGGTGCCATTACTAGAGCACCCCGTGCCATTTGGGTTAAGACCAAAAACACCGAAGTAAGAGTGGATACCAAAAAAGAGCCTGATAGGATCCCAGGATACAGTGATGGAGATAAAGGGTTCCGACACCTCTGCCACTAGCTGGGTGACTCTGGGCATGTTAACTATATAATCTTTGTGCCTCGGTTTCCTCCTCTGTGAGGCGGGGCCAGTCACGTTTGCTACATCACAGTGTTGAGAAGATCGAAGGAGCCAATATTCATAAAGTACACAGCAAGTGCCTCGACAGGTGGCAGCTATGACGATGACTGGTATCAAGTCAAACTTGTACACAATGGGTAAGCCATACTCGGGGTTGAGAAATGATAGCTGTAAGGGCACATTCATTGAAAAACAGGTTAACTGTGCATGCGCCACGCACCAGACACTGAACTAGGTCACAGGGTAAAACACGTGAGTAAGATTGGCCTTATCCTCAAGACATTTACTCAGGGGCCCTTAACTCCACCTGGCCAAGTCAGGGAAGGGTTCCCCGGAAGACGCAATGCCTGAACCGACCAGCAGGAGACAGTCAAGGAGAAGAACTGGAAAGCTCTTCATTTTTCTCAATTCGATGGGGAAACCACTATCTACCTACCTCATGGCACCCTGTGGACAACATTCCGTACTTATCTGTCTGTACTCTGCAAGAGGCAAGATGGCCTTTCTCAAACAGGGTTCCCCGTCCTAACATATGAAATGAATTAAGTGCCGATTTTTCTCAGTTCTCCCAAGGATGGCCCTTCTAAATGCCCAGGAGAAAACCACTGCTTCCCTATCTTCACTTTCATATCTGTAGCCCCTAGCATAGTGCCTAGAACACAGCAGAGTTTCAAAATGTGCCAAGTGAGTGAGTGAACTGTCCTGAGAATTATAAAGTATTTGTGAACATGCCGGTGGCAGCGTAGGTTCACCCCCAATTCTTCAAGTTCACCTAGCAATTGTCCCAGTTCTCTTCCCATTCATTTGCGAATTTCTAAGGATCTTCAGAAGAGCGACCACCCTATCTCCACTCTCTTAAACAGCCAAAGTGCACAACTTACCCAGACATTTCTCTCTTTCTTCTCGTCTTTCTTTGGCCAATCTCTGTCTCTCGTCTGATTTCAAAAATCCATCCATGCCTACAAGAGAGAAAACCAGATGATTTTTCAGTTCTTCACTCCTGCCCTATCTGCTGAGTGCTAGGGGAACCGAGCGTGTGCCCTGAGTCTGGCTGCAGGCCCACATCATCCATCCCCATCACTTCATCCAAAGGAGGTCCGATCTGTCGCTCTCCACCACACACACACAGGCCCTGACAGCCGAGGGGCGGCAGGCACAGCTTCCATACGCCCCTGCCAAGTGCTGTAGTAGTGCCAACACCAGTGCCAGAGAACCCAGCCCTTTCCCTAAGCCTCTGTCCCCAGGCCTGGCCCTGGAGGGGTCAGAAAAAGTGCAGTAAGTGACAGAGGGGCCTGGCAGCATGCAGAGAAGCCCACCAGGCCTCCCCCAGCCCAGCTTCCAGGCCTGAAGCAGGACTATCTGGGGTAGAGGGAGAAGCACAAAGTTGACGAGATTTTGGATGTTGATTATTACATAGATACTGCACATTTTACCTTCTGAAAGGAGCCCATTGCTGAGGGACACATACGAGCTCCTAGGTGAGCACTGTGAAATACAACACTCAAGCTTGATTTTGGTTCTGCTAAGTTTGCACCAAGGTCAATCTCAGTATCTTAGAATCATTCAAATACCTACAACAAATAAGATGAAACAAATGACAGCTCCCCCCCACCCCCCAGTGCCTAGGAAATATCCTGGAGCTCTGCATCTCAATTCAAGCCCTGCAGGACACTGAAGGGCTTTCTAAATCAAAGATTAAATGGATCTTCGTGGTCGTTTCAGGATTAGAAATACTTTACTCTGCAACAATTGGTTGTACACAAGTACTATCTATATAATGTTTAAGCGCACCATTCTGGAGAAATCGACTGCAGCATTAATACAACCAGATTCACTTTCCCAGCATCTGGGCCTTCCTCTCTGGGAGCATCACACGCCGACTTCGTCACGCTGTAGCCCCAGTGTGTACACACAACGCTCAAAGGCAGGCATGATGTTAGTCGAAGGGGGGCAGGGAGAGAAAATCAGGTTTGTCCTTTCTCTAAACACTCTCAAGTTCTAGTCTGTAGCTCAAGAGTTTGATTAATCAGAACTAGTTCAGTGTGAAAAGCTACAACAAAAAGCCTAGGATGCCTGGACAGATGCTTCTATCAGCACCTGCACCAACTCGCCCACCAAGGCAGGACCTGCACCTTGCTCGGTATTGTCCCCACCACCCTCCAGATGTTAACAGGCCTGCCCTATGTTTAAGGTAAGCCTGAGAACTACTCAAAGTATTCTTCGAACAGAGGAAAGAAAGAAAAACTGAGGAAAAAAAGGGCTAAGCACATCTGAAACTGCTCACGTTACCTTGACGCTTTGCAAACAGAAGGCTGCTAGTTCCACGAACATGCATGATCGTAGGCTGCCCTCTCATGGGCACACGTAACAGTCACACCTTCAAATCACTTCCTTTCCAGAAAAGCTTTATTTATCATGCTCACAATCACCAGCAGCATCATAATAGGAGAGAGCAATTGAGCAGTTACTATGGACCAAGTGCACTGTTTGGATTTACTTGGCCAACCACCTTGTGATGATGGAGGCACTGTTACAATCCTTGTCTTATAGGTGTAGAAACAGAGGCACAGAGAGGTTGACCAGTCCTAGGTCACACTGTCAGAAAGTGGAGAAGTCAGATTCTGAGGCAAGAAGCTGACTCCTGGACCCGCACTCTTAATTACTGCTTTCCTATGCTGCTTCCTCGTCAAAGGAAGAAATGTAACACCTGGATCTTAGTGCTGTGACTCAGTGACACACACAGGCAACAAATCCTAACCTAGTCGCAAAAATGAGCCTGCAAATCCTGAGAGCAGAAGTGCAGGTCTAACTCATTAGCGAAGCACGAAGCAAGCACTACTGCGAGCCAAGCACAGGCCCAGCTGGGCACAGATGTGGGAACTGCCCCAGCAGGCTAATTATTGGCTTCCTTCCTCCTCAAACTGATGGTTTAGAGATGTTTGCTCAACAATAATTTAGAGAGGCTGATGCTGGGTGGGGAAGGGGGGTCGCCAGAGGACCCTGGGGGTAACTGTAGGTGCCAAGCAATTCAGCTTTGCTCCACTGAGGTGGGGTGGAGTGACTCGAACAGTCCAACATGGGTGACCCAGAATCTCTGCATTGTTCATTTGGTAGCCACAAGGCACACATGGCTATTTAAATGGAATAGAATCGAAATTCAATACAATTACAAGTTTGGTTCCTCAGTCACACCGGGCACATTTCAGGCACTCAGCCACATTTCTGGTAGCTGCCACCCTGCACAGCACTGAATGAGAAGCCTGGCAGCTCCATCCTGTGATTCTCTCCTTTCACGCTTAGCTGCCCCGGGGGCAGATGTGCACCAGGGAGATCCCAGAGTCCAGTCAGGGTTGAGATTTGCTGCATGAGTTAAGACGGAGGCAGGGCCGCCTCCCTTCCTCCATACAGTGTCTGCCTGTCCTATTTAATTGTCAAGCAAAGATTTCAAGAACATCCACTGGAAGAGGAGTCGAACAGTTAACTCACACCTCCAGCGTCAACCTTGCAACTCTCAATGACTCCTGGAGGCTGCAGAGAAGCCCCTGAGCTCACCCTGAGGCAAGAAGGAGTGGAGCACAAACCATGGCCCCCATTTCTTAGGGGCCATCAACTTGACCAGTTATTACCACTATCACAACCCAGCCAGGTTTAAACCAGAGGAACAGAGGTAGATTATCATGAACATTAACACCAGGAGACACCCTCTAAAGACAGCATATCCAAGAGTTACTGCTGAATTTGGTTCCAAAAGGAAGTCTTTGTGTATGGCCTAAAATCCTAAAGCGTCCAGTTTTCTCATCCATTTGTTCTTTGTCCCATGCGCCTTATATGCGTACACATATTGTCTTTTTAAAAACCAGGAACCCAATTTTATCTTTGAACTCTATGAGAACTGATGGAAAAGAGATCTGTGCTTTCATGCTTGCCCGGGTGGGGAAGGGGTGGGAGAGAAGTGGGTAGCTATTACATAAAAGGCCACCTAGGGGTCCTTGTGTGGATGAAAATGTGCCTTATCTTGACTATACCAGCATCGACATCCTGGTTGTGATATTGTACTGTAGTTTTGCAAGATGTTACCACTGGGGGAAACTGGGTGAAGGGTACATGGGCTCTCTGTGTAGTATTTCTCATAACTGCATGTGAATCAACAATGATCTCAAAATACAGAAGTTTAACTATAAAAGCAAAAAAAAAAAAAAGTGGCTCAAGCATGAAGCCCTTGGAGGGACCAAAAGACAAAGAGGGAGCACAGGACACCTTCTCGGAGGTGCCCTACTCGGGAGAAGGACCAGAGCCACTCCTCCCCACTCTTGATGCAATAATGCTTCCCAGGGCATCGGTATTCAGGTAAATGTCCACCTCTGAAATGGAGGCCTTTTCCTGGGCAATTCATTCCTACAAGAAACTAGAATAAAACAGGGATCTTTAACAGCCAAACAACTATTTTATGTTAACAGAACAGCATAAAATCTCATACTTCACTGATTTGCTCTTGCTTGGAAAAACTTCCCGTTATCCTTGGGCTGCAGCAACCAGTAAAACTAATTTTAAAATGAATTTTATTAGCCTGAAGCACTTTCCTACTGGAATATTAATGAGCTGATATTATTCATGGTACTGGTAAGAACCATTATCAACACACAAAGTTTTAAAGGGAGGCCAGCTGTGTTTGACTTTAAAAATTTAATTGCCATTAAGTGAATTTTAAAATAACGTTTCCAATCACACTCACATCTGTACGACTGCAACGTCTAGGAGAAAGAAAGGAAACTAGGAATGAAGAGTTCATCCAATAGGAAGTCCAATGAGGGCCGCTCACCTCCCCTGGGGAGTCCTTCCTGATCCCTTCCGGGGTTGCCAGATGCTCCCTGCTCTGTGGACCTGCAGGCACTGACGCTTTCCCATCTTGGCGGTGACTTATTTGTAAGGTGATGATCTGCTTAAGCACACGGAAGCCACCGCTCCTCAACTTTGGCTACACAACGGAATCAACTGGGGAGCTTTAAACATATATAGATCCTGGATCTCCTAGAGGCCGATCTAGTCCGTCTCGGGTGTGGCCTGGGCACTGGTACTTTAAAAGCTCCCTATGTGATTCTGACGTGCAGCCAAGCCCAAGAACGGTCCTGGCCCACTGTCCCCACGCTTGAGCATGCATCAGAACCACCCAGAGGGTTTGTGAAATGGACTATACTGGACATCACCCTAGAGTTTCTGACGGAGTAGGTCTGGGGTGAGCCAGAGAGTCTCCCTTTCCAACAAGCTCTCAGGTGAGGCTCATGCTATTGGCCCAGGGCCCACAACTTGAGAACCAGTGTTCTAGACTAAGCTGATTCTAGAGGGCAAAGCCCTCCCTGTGGCTCCTCTCTGTCCAGAGCCCAGCAGAGTGGGCCCCAAAACAGTCTGCAGAAGGAATGACTGACGACCTGCACACATTCCCCCAGAGCGTTAACCTTTGCCAAGGTTGTTATTGCCCCACATGCTACTGCCTGGGTCTGTCCCTTTTTCTCTTTTAAAAATTGGGGTCTCACACTCCTGGGCTAAATGATCCTCCCGCCTCAGCCTCCTGAGTAGCTGGGACTACAGGCACGTGCGCACCATACTCAGCTCTGGGTCTGTTCATTTGACCCTTGCCCTCTAAGCTCTTGTGTTATCTCGAATCTCCAGCACCTTACGGATTGGGAAGTATTCAAAAAGTTGCTGAATGAAATGGCCTCATGTCCCATCGAGGGAAACCTTCCCCATTTGTAGAGCATTTTAACCTCGTATCAGAAGTGCCATTGAAAACAACCAACATTTTAAAGCATCTTTGTACCCATTATCCTGCTAGAGTTGTGGAGGGAATACAAAGCAAACGAAGGAAGGCGGCTTCCTCTGCTGTTTCCACAGCCCAATACACACACACACACACACACACACGCGCGCGCGCGCGCGCGCACACACACACACACACACACAC